GGTCTTGCAGGATTATTCGGTTTGTGTGTTTTAATAAGCCCATATAGATATGGGAGAGAAGGGGAACGACTTAAAAACTTAGGAATCAACTCCTTATCTTTCTTGAGCACGGTTTTAAGAGTTTTGTTGAAATGAGCAATAACTCTTTCAATAGGGTCACTATTAACAGGTAAGTAAGTGTCTCTGTCCTCCAATAACTGGTTCATTTTTTGGACATAGTCTTCTTTGTCCATAATGACAACAGCATTGGATTTATCAGCTTTAGTGATATGTAGAGAGTTATCTTTTTTGAGGGTTTTGAACGCTCGCATAAACCTCTCTGGACAATTAGGCACAGTACGCTTAAGTAAAGAACCGTACACCATTCCCTTGCAAATATTGATGTCATCAGATGAAATCTCACTAGATTTCTCCAAATTGCAAAAACTTTTGGCAATATTTGCATAATTCACATCTCTATTTGATATGGAGAAACTCAGACCGTAACCAAGAGCAGTCATCGTATCATTATCAAGTTGTTTACTAGAGAGATTAATAACAAAGTCAGTGTTGGCATGTTTATTCCAATCACTTTGTTGAATGAGCCTATTTAATTTTGAATCAAGCTTCGTACTTACATTCGTGCAGGCAGATCTCATAGCGCATTCATGCAGGCAGATCTCATAGCCCGATGATGGATTATTGTTACACCGCTATGAGATCTGCCTGCACGAATGTAAGTACGAAGCTTGATTCAAAATTAAATAGGCTCATTCAACAAAGTGATTGGAATAAACATGCCAACACTGACTTTGTTATTAATCTCTCTAGTAAACAACTTGATAATGATACGATGACTGCTCTTGGTTACGGTCTGAGTTTCTCCATATCAAATAGAGATGTGAATTATGCAAATATTGCCAAAAGTTTTTGCAATTTGGAGAAATCTAGTGAGATTTCATCTGATGACATCAATATTTGCAAGGGAATGGTGTACGGTTCTTTACTTAAGGGTACTGTGCCTAATTGTCCAGAGAGGTTTATGCGAGCGTTCAAAACCCTCAAAAAAGATAACTCTCTACATATCACTAAAGCTGATAAATCCAATGCTGTTGTCATTATGGACAAAGAAGACTATGTCCAAAAAATGAACCAGTTATTGGAGGACAGAGACACTTACTTACCTGTTAATAGTGACCCTATTGAAAGAGTTATTGCTCATTTCAACAAAACTCTTAAAACCGTGCTCAAGAAAGATAAGGAGTTGATTCCTAAGTTTTTAAGTCGTTCCCCTTCTCTCCCATATCTATATGGGCTTATTAAAACACACAAACCGAATAATCCTGCAAGACCTATTATTAGTTCTGTTGGATCTGTGGCATATAGACTTTCCAAATGGCTTGTCCAAGTCTTGTCTCCAGTAGTAGGTTCCATTTCCAACTCACACATAACAAACAACTTGGACTTGGTTAACAAGTTGTCTAGTTTGAAATTAAATTATGATTTTAAACTTGTGAGTTTTGATGTGACGGCTCTGTTCACTAGGGTTCCTGTTGATGATCTGTTGTCATTCTTACGGGATCTACTCCCAAGGTATAATTTAACTTTGCCTACTAACACCATTATTGAACTTATAAAATTGTGCATTAAAGATAATTATTTCAGCTTTAATGATTCATTTTATAAACAAACATTTGGCATGGCGATGGGTAATCCCCTCTCCCCTGTTTTGAGCAATCTGTACATGGAATGTTTCGAAACAAATATCCTTCCCAGGATTTTACCCTCAAATTTGCTTTGGTACAGGTACGTTGACGATATTTTGTGCCTGTGGCCGGTTAATCATGTGGCCGGTTAATCATGACGAAACTGATTTTCTCAATCAAATCAATTCGCTGGTTCCGTCAATTAAATTCACAATTGAGAACGAAGTGAATGGTGTTCTGCCTTTTTTAGACATCATGATTCATAGAATTGGTAGAAGTTTCAAATTCAATGTGTATAGGAAACCTACCAATGTGTGCTCGTATGTACATTTCTATTCAAATCATCATGTTCAGGTCAAGCGGGCAGTTTTTTCTGGTATGTTTCTCAGAGCACTGAGAGTTTGTAGTCCGGAATTTTTCGATGAAGAAATAGCAAATATATTTGAAATTGGGAAGAAGTTAAAATACCCAAAATCGATCTTGGATCTTGCGTTTGGTCAAGCAAAAAGGACTTTCTACAAACAGACTACTAAGTCGAAACCAGAACTGAAAAATTCGTTGGTATTACCATATTCTGAGGGTCTAGTAAATCTTGCCCCAGCCCTGAAGAACCTTAATATTAATCTAGTGTTCAAAAATGATAATACAGTTAAGTCCATGTTAATTAAGAACTCGCCCTCGTCTGTAGCAGGTTGTGTTTATTCCATTCCTTGTAATGAGTGTGCATGTGTTTACATCGGCCAGACAGGTAAATCTCTTTCCTCGCGTTTAAAACAGCATTCATACGCTATTCGTACAGGCCAGCAATCCAGTGCATTGTATTTACATTCCAGTTTATGTAATCATTCTATCGACTTCACAGGGGCAAAATGTATTGTTAAAAGTAAGGATTTTGTTGAACGAAACGTGATCGAGTCTGCTCTGATCAAACATTGTAACAACAGCCTTAATGTGAGCCCCGGTATGTACAAGTTGGATCCCTATTTAAGCCTCAATATAGCACGTCAAAACAATATAGCAATCATTTAAACACGTATGGCACTTGGAGATATTCATAGGAGCTGCCTTGTATGGGCCAATAGGCCTTCTGCAGTTACCTTCTTTCTTATAATTCCTTTCCTCCACTTATTTTTGGTGGTCAGGTGATCTGCCCAGGCGGATATAAAGGTCTGATCAGCAATCTTATCTTCATTCTACTTTGCTCTGATGAAGGCGAATTAGCCGAAAACGCGTTAAGCAGTTTCTATTTTTCATATGTGGTTATTCTGCATATATATATATATATATATATATATATATATATATATATATATATATATATATATATATATATATATATATATATATATATATATATATATATATATATATATATATATATATATATATATATATATATATATATATATATATATATATATATATATATATAAAATAATAAAAAATAATAATAATAATAATAATATGTTGTACTGTACCTAGTAGCCAGAATGCAGTTCTTGGCCTACTATATTTACCTAATAAGCCAAGTTTTCCTGAATTTCAATATTTTTCTAATTTGTTCTCATGAAATATGAGCATTACCATTAACCTATCCTACACGACATTTGGTAAATTCATCCAAATTTTCCCAATTTGTATCAATTCCACTAAATTTATCCTGATTATATCAAACCAAATTCCCCAAATTCTACTAAATGTATATTTATTAGAATTTGTGGAGTAGATAAAGACCTAGACCTCACTTCTTGATGATGGTGATAGGTAACGTGTTTACCGATAGGTAAATACACCACCACCACCACTGATCCTCACCACCATCACTACCACTCCTTATGCTTATTATAGCTTCTTGTAATTATTGTACCTCCTGTACACATTGTGAGATTTGATGGCTTGCGAATACCTCTCATGATTGACTACACTCAAAGCGTACCTAGTTTATGTTGACATAAATTGCATGTCGGTATCTTAAAGTGTGATGCTCAGACTTGTTTTGATGGGTTATCAAAGGAGCAGTTCATTGATATTTCTCTCTCTTGATAGATTTTGGCAATGACCGACACAAACAGTGCATCAGCGTTTTTTGGGTCGGATATCTCACAGCAGCTTATCACTGAAGGTAATGCTATTGCCGACAGACTGCAGGCACATTTCATGACCTCCACTGCAACTTGCCAACAGAAAAGTGAGTTCAGCCATCATTTGCATGCTATTTCCTAATCTACCTCTGGAAAGATTTTATCTATATTTATATATTAAAACCTCAATAAGGCATATTAATCAGGATATACAATGGTGTGAAAAGCCAGAAAGTAATTGGAGCAAATAGAATATTAGGTCACTTCCTGTAAGGTTAACAACAAGATCTTTGGCATAGTTGCACTGGATGGAGAAGGAATAAGTTGGCTGTAACAGGTGGAGGATGCAAGTCCCAGCCTGTGTTACTGTTGCATGATGTACTGGGGGTTTACCTTAAGAAAACTAAAGCTGCAATACCTTCATATTTTTTGTATTGCCCAGGTAGTATTTTTGTGTTATAGTTATATGATGTGGGGGGACTTCTGTTTGCTTTAATTTGCCTTTTAAAAGGTATTCACTTCAAATATAAAACGTGCATTTTTCTGTGTGTCTGTGTGTTTCGGTTGCCATAATCCACTGAAATCTGTTGTGATTTTGTTACGAAAAAGAATTGGAAATTTCCTGCATTATCGAGTACGCCCTAACTTACAATTGTACTCATTATCAGCTTTATTTGAACTGTGGGTTGGTAATTTACTGTACTTAGGCCATGTTCTCACAGAATTCTTTGAGTAATTATCATCTTCATTGGGTATGGTTTGCTTTTTACATGTTGTGGTACCCAAAACTAGCAGTACCGATCCTAGGGTCTTTCACCATTTTGCTAGAGAGTAATTGCCTTTGCTTTTGTAATTTCTTTTTTTTTTTTTTTAGAAATTTTGTATAGAGTTCTACTGTTTTGTGTTTTTCATTTGTTTTTGTATAATTTTAGTTTTAATCAGTAATACTGTTTAAGTTCAAGAATGTTATTGTTTGTGTATGTTTGATGCATTGTTCTCAGGGAAGTTACCTTTTAAGGTACCTTACGATGGTTCACATTGTATGTTCAGGTATGTTCACATTGTTCTCCAAACACTGAACCCTAATGCCATCTCTCCTGCTTTAAGGCCTTAAAACTCTGCAACAACACTGGAAACGTTTACTTGAGAAGTCAGTTTGATTTGTCAATCATGTAATTGTAGTAGTGAGTTAACTATGAAAATGTCAATTCTTGAGGTAGGCACATCAGGTTTGTAAAGGTTAAATGAATTTAAAAAAGGCATTAACTGAAAGGAGAATATAGAATTACAGCAAATGTGGCAGCCAATCTGGTGAGCCTGATACTGGAGAATTATCCTAACTAGAGAATCATGCCTTCACTTGGTGGCAAGTTAACCATGCTGTAATTGTTTTAATCATAATACAGCATTTTTATGTAGTAAACTGTTTTTATTAGCAGTGTTTTATAGTTGTAATATTGTTACTACATTTTGTAACAAAATTGCATAACCAATCCTAAAGATTTTCTAGATATTGAAGATCAGTAAGAATAGGAGTATGAAAGTTGTGATTGCATTTAAAGAAAGGTTTGAGGTATTTTTCCAGTGTTGGAGAGTGGAAAAGAAAGTATTTGTGTAGATAATGTATGCATGGAGTGGCTGACTCAGTGTTGCATGTTTCTTTGGTCATTGGTTTATTGTTTGCCTTAATAACTTTATACTTCCTTGGATTGTCCTAGAATTGTTGCTGATTTTCTTGGGACTTGACCTTCTTATGCCCTTAAGACTTGGCTTATTGGCCACTCACAGGATATTTATGTATCACTCTACAAAGGACGGGATCACAGACTGAGTGAGGGGGGAAAGTGTGTCGCTGCCCCCTCTTCTTTCATGATATTTGTGGACCAGTTATCTTTTTATGGCAAGCCGGTGGGTATGTACTCTTACCACCATTAGTAGCTGAATGTGTGTGTCACATTTGTTCAGGTCACTATTTTGGGGGGAAAATAAATAGCCCTTTTCTGGAGGAGCCTCTTGGTTGCCTTCCTGAAGCTATCTTGCCGAGGTGGCTTCCCACTTCTGAGTCACACGAGGCTTATAAGATAAGGTGAGGAATCCTGTTTAGCCTACTGAGGACCAGAACCTGGCCTTGTCACAGAGGTGCAAAGAGCTGGGGATTGTTACTGAGACAACATCGAGAAATTAAGTGAAACGATACAAACAGCTGCAAGGCTCACAGAAAACAGAGCATCAAAACAGCTAAACAACTCTGCAACTAATTCATTCAAAACCAATTGGTTTATTAAAACCTAACTTGAATCTCCTAGTGCAACTGGTGGCTCCTTGGGAGTTCCAGGCTTTTGCCCTGGCCATTAGCCAGTCCTGTTACTGATGCTGATGTTTGTATTTGTATTGTTTTACTTGCTTTTTGGATGCTTTGTCAGTGTGGGTGATCACAACAATCCCCAGCTCTATGCACCTCTATGAATGGGGCCAGGGTCTGGGACCTCTGGTCCCAGGAAGGTCAAACAGGACTCTGATGGCTGATGTGACTCAGTAGTGGGAAGCCATCTTGGTGAGATAGTTTCAGGGAGCCACCGAAGCTCCACCAGAGAAAGGCGTTTCATTACATCCAGTGGTGATTTTTTGTATTTCTTTTAAATCATTTTATATGACTATTGAAATTATATTTTAATAGTAGTTAATGGTTAATGCCCTGGCCACTTGCTAAATACTGTAGTTAAATGGATACATGTTTTGAAATTCTGGAATATTGATAAACTGGTAATGATAGTAACTGGAATTGTCGTGAATTACAGTGCTTTAATGTGATACTTTTCTTCATTTAATATGTAGAGGGAGTGTAAGAAAGACAGACGCACTGCCCCAGTAGAACATAGCTGCTTGGCCTCTCTTATCGTCACTTGCATGGATTTAACCATGTTTTATATATACTAATTTATAATTGTTTTCTTGTTTTTTCTCTTTCTTACAGCTGCATTTTACACACCCTTCTTTAAGGAGGTGTGGGATAAGAAGCCCGAGATTGAGCAGGCATTTAATATGGAAGACCCCTCAGGCTTGGATGACTCTGGTGAGGGCACTTTAGAGCGACCTCCTCACCACTATCACCGCAGCATAACATTGCCACCGCCGAGACGCAACCTCCCGCCCAGGTCTCAATCTGCAGAGGGGTGAGTCATTTGTGATCTGCTTTTAATAGTTTTAAGAGGTTCTATGGATTAAAACGTGAAAGAAACTATGACAGGATTTTATATTTTATAATTATTAATTCAGATAGATAGTATAGAGTATAGTGAACTTTGAACAGACATTTTCTAAGCTATTCATTTGTTGGATTATTCTCTCAGTTTGTCCAGATCATCTTGTAGCCTCTTGCTGTTTTCCTGTCTTATTCCTCCTCATAATTTTTGCATCATCGGCAAACATTGAGAGCAGTGATTTCCTCTGGGAATCACTTATATATATATGTGTGAAGCAGCATAGGTTCAAGAACTAAACCCTGTGGATCCCTGAAATCTCACCCTTCATAGTAACTCACTGTATTCTGTTGCTTAGGTATTGCCTTATCCACTGGAGTACCTTACCTGTCACTTTTGCCTGCTTCTCTAACTTATGCACTAGTTTCTTATGGGGTACTGCGTCAAAAGCTTTCTGGCAATCCAAAAATATGCAGTCTACGCACCTTGTTTAATTTTTGTAGCCTGGTCATAAAATTCTACTAAACAAGATGAAGCAAGATTTACATCCCTGAATCATCAGCAAATATGTTCATATCATTTTGGATTCCCTCTGGTAGATCATTAATATAGACAGTGAACATACTGGTGTTAGAACTGAATCCTGTGGTACTCCACTAGTAACATTTCTCTAGTCTGATACATTACATCTGATTACTGCCCTCATTTTTCTGTCAAACATTTTTTCACCCATGGCAGAAGTCTCCGTCACCACTCCAGTGTGCTGCAGTTTCCAGAAAAACCTCTTGTAGAGGTTTGTAGCCTCTGTGAACTCTTGTAGACTCTGTCAAAGCCCCTTTTATGTCCAGATAAGTGCACTGAACCCAACCTTGTCTCTCCAGTGAAATCTTTGTGGGTCTGTCATAGAAACAAAGCAGATTTATTACAAAAGATCTTCTCATTTGAAAACCATACTATTGGTGTATTATTGAAGATAATGTGATATATGTAATTCGAAACCTATTTCAGTGCGCTTGAGAATTCTATTTACAGAAAACCAATTCTTCAAAGAAAGCATTTACAGCATTCACTTTTTATATTCTAACCAATGATTTATAATACAATTATGCTATAACTTGAGCAGGCGATGAGTCACAATAACGTGGCTGAAGTATGTTGACCAGACCACACACTACAAGTTGAAGGGACGACGACGTTTCGGTCCGTCCTGGACTATGGTCCAGGATGGACCGAAACGTCGTCGTCCCTTCAACTTCTAGTGTGTGGTCTGGTCATCAACTTATAACTTGAGAATAATTTATGTTTACGACAAAGCTTCATTTGTCAGTTTACATGTTGACTAATACTGGAACTGTAATATGCTTTCAGATCATCACAAATATCTTGATATTTGTGATGATAGCCTCTAACCCCTTTGACACCATGGGTATCTACCTGCCTGACAATGGCAGTCTTCTACAAAAACGTATTTTTCAGAGGAAAAGATGTAGATGTTATAACATCTCTCTCTATAGTGTTGATATGTCCAAACTGGAATATTATACTTTATATTTTAATGAGCTGCCCAATGAATGAGCCCATCCTCACAGCAAATCCATGACCATGAGAAATCATACTCCCCTTCCAACCACCTGGATAGTTCTGAAGATATTTGTAATGATCTTTCTAGTGTGTGGTTTGCTCATCATATTTCAGCCACGTTATTGTGACTCCTCGTCGACAAATGTTAATCATCTTTTATTCTTTGCTTGTAGAAGCAGTTCGGAGATTTATGAAACGGTGCCGACCGATGGTTCCCACGATGACCTGGATGAGCCCCTCTCTCCTGTGTTTCCTGATGATCAGCCACTCACACCTTCAGATGATTCTGATATCTACTCCCACATTGACAATGACGAAGAGGAGCACCTTGTTAAACCCTCGCAGCTTAAAAAGCAACATAGATTTCAGCAAGGTAAGAATTTAATGGAAATTTACTTTCATTTCTTGATATGTTGGTTATGGGCTGACTAATTTGTTTGTAGAATCATACTAAAATCATGTCTGTTTTCTGGTGATGTTACTTAGAGAATTTTGTGGCAATAACTTGAGCATTATGACTAATAACTTATTTTTCATTAACCATTCAAAGAGTAATGATACCTGGCTGCAGATACCAAGGTCTGTTCAGCTCTTTCCGTCCCATTTCCTGGCCGATTCCCATTTCTGTATTACTTTTAAAATGAATACATTTTATAAGAATAAATACAGTGTGACTTTTTAAAGATTTCCTGTTGTTTAAACCTTATACAGTATTGTATGTGTTTTCAATGGGTTTTTGTGGAGTGGTATTATTAGGTATTATTAGGTATTATCCATTTATCCATTGGATGCTTTTCCAATTTAAATGGAAAATTTTAGTGGTATCCATACCAATTTAATACCAGTTTATAGTGGTATCAATTTAAGTGGTATCCATTTATCTATGGATACTTTAAACTGGGCTGCTAACAGGAGGTAGAAGTCATCTGGCCCGCTACCCACCTGTGAACAAAATATATATTATTTTTAGGTTTTAAAATTTTTAAACAGTTGTTTGCTGTTTTGTAGTATTTTAAGTCTTTTTACATCTCTCATTGACAACTGAAAGATATCAAATTTTGAATTGGCACATTACAAAAATTGTTGTTGCAATGTGCAGTTTTATCAGAAATTGACTCAAACCCAAGAAAGCACCAATCAGAAAGTATAGGCACATCTAAGCAAGCAACTGTTTGAAATGAAATTATTAGCCCTGAGGAAAATAAGGCAAACAATCATTGTTAAAAGGTAAACTGTAATGTGCCTGACTGCCCTTTGATGGCAACTGTGATCGCCTGGAGTCTCCTCTAACCAACCATAGCATTCAGGAGTCACTCCAACACAATCCTCCGATGGAGGAGATGATGTGTGGCCACAAACATTATTTGATATAGTTGTCGGTGAAAAGGGTAAAAAGGCAATAATCAGAACTAAATGTAACAAAAGCAATACAACCGAACATATTACCATGGCTTGTGAATCAGGCTGCTAGATACCTATGTACAGTATGTCTTATCAGATATGCAAAGTACTGTAGCTGTGAAAAGGATTGATGACCCTCAATTTTGAATATTTACACTTAAAAATTGAGTCAGAGTGCTGATTTTAGTCCTTTATTATTTGCTGTTTATCTTGATCCATTGTAAGGGTGATGTTTTCTAAATGATGATGCTCTACTTTTGTTGGCACCAACTAAAGATGCTATAGAAAAATTGATAGCACTGTGTGAAAGATATAGTGCTGAAATAACTTCATGGTCAATCTTGGCAAATGTGTTGAAGTTGCTTTTAACTCTCAGCTGTCTTTTTATCATGATCTTAAACTGAAATTACTAGGCTGAGAGATTTCACTAAAATATTTGAGAAGCAACTGAGGCATCTTTTGTCCTTAAAAGGCTCACTTCAACAATTTTCTGATGCTATCAAAGACACGAAGGGTCAAACAAATGTCATTTTGAGTGATAATGGTCATCTAGAAACCTGATCAAAAGTAATAATATTTAACAGTCATTGCCCCAGGTTGTATGATGTGAATTATGGGATCTGCAGCATGCTGACCTTGGGAAGCTAAATTGTCAACTGAAGAAATGTTCCAAACACTTGGGAAGTATTTATTCTCAGTCTCCGGCTGGCCTCATGTCCACACCTACACTTTAACCACTGTACCGCGCCGAGCGGCCTAAGGGCCTCTCAGAGTTAGGCTATTTTTTTTTTTAAATTAGGCTATATTTTAATGTTTTCATCACTTTGTCTTTTGAAATTGGTTGAGTTTGGAAACATTTTGACAAATATTTATAAAAACAACAAAAAATATATCCTTGACAATTGCACTATGAAGTTTTTGCCGAAACCAGGTGCGCAGTGCAGTGGTTAAGAAACAACAAACAAATGATACCGTTTTGCCTGAGAGAATCACCCATCCAGCAAACATAAGCTCTCTCTCTTTTTTTTCCCCCAGCATTTGCTTATCACTGGCCACTTAAATTTTGCTGATATATCAACATATGATTGTAAGGAATTACAACTTAAGAATGAGTGATGTGCATAATTAGCAGGTCTACAAGATAGAATGAACTAGCTAGGCAGCATAGGGTAGGACAACCCCCAGCTGGATATCAAGACTTATTAAGGAATTAGTGTCACAAAGACGTGGCTTATTGACCAATGAATTTGAAATCCAGTTGAGATCAGATGTGTGTTATACGAGCTGTTTGTTCAGAGTGATTTTGATCCCGGCGTGGCCCCTGAATCTGTTACATGTAAAATATTGTGGCTTTGCAAATTTTTTAATTATATGGTTTACCATACTTAGTTTGTTAGTTATCGTTTAAATTGTATGCATTTTATTGATTTTTCTGCTTAAAGTTAATTAATTTAATGTCTCCTGTCTTTATAATGACTTATTATACAGATTATAATTTTTATTTTTATTTTTACTGCTAATTTTATCATTACAACTATACAACTGCCTTACTTGAGGGTCTCGGTAGTTCAGTTGGGGTCGTTCTCAACTCAGTCGTGAATCCCGAGTTCAAGTCCCGAGCGGGACAGAAATGATTGGGTCCATTTCCTATCACTTAAAGCCTCTGTTCACCTAGCACTGAATAAGTACCCAGGAGAGTTAGTCAGCTTGTTGAGGGGGTTGCACCCTGGGGAAGGTCAATAGTTCAATATTGAGGGACCTCGATTTAAGCCTAACATATATATATATATATTCACAGGCTACCTGTTCCCAACAAAATAATTTATTAATGTACTGCATCGCAACTTCAGTTGTAAGGTATAAGTATTGGTATTAAACAAATAGTTTGATATACTCTGTTGTACACCTGTTCTTTACAGCTAAAATTGTAACAATTTTGTACAATTTTTTACTGATCAAGCTTGTGATTGCGAGTCTTGAGCCACATTCTGGAACAAGGCAGGAGTATCTAATGCCCTAATTAGAGAGACAGTGGAGGGTCCCCAAGAGGAAAATATTAACCTCTGGGCTGCACAACTGTTAATAGCTCACAACCCCATTATGTGCAAGAAAAACTAAATTCAAAAAGTTTTTTCTTCTAAATTCCACCACTGTATCATTGATAATACCTGTACATTGTATAATATTGCAGATAAACAAGCACTTCTGCACTCCATCAGTTATCCCATTTCAGTTTTTGGCATTGCTTAATTAAGAAGAGATCTGGATTTTGGGATTTGTTGAGGCTGAAAGTACTTCTGTAGAAATTGCTAAAATAAATGAACTAAAACATGCATATAGGTAGTTTAGAAGTTACGTGAGGAATTGCGCTTTGCTTCCATAAAAATTGACATGCTATATTAAAGTGAAGGCAGGATAGAATATAAGCGTTAAATTTGTACATGAAGGCCTAATTGTTATGCTAAATACAAACTTTATTATTATTTTGTGTAAGAAGCCACACTTACACTGAGGGTGGCACTTGTATACATGTGGAGTACAATGTACCTCTACCTGCAGTATTATAAATATGCTCTTGACATATGGTACCACGTACTGTGTACCAGTTTAAATATATTGCAGCACATGTTATATTGAAGAGCCTCTACTAATATCAATTTTTGTAGCTCTCGTCCCCTGGAACAAAATTTTTGGACAAAATATTTTAACAATTTAAGAGTTTCAAACTATAGTCGAAAATAAACAAATTGAGGCAACAGATTATTTTATATTCTTATAAATCAGTATTAAAAAAAGTTTCCATATTGAGAGTAGACTGTAGGAAGGCAAAGTGAATGTTGTACAATGTAGTGTGTGTGTGGTTTTTGTTTATTATACAGGCAGCTTTTGATTTGTACAGTACACCAACTTGTGTGGAATTACTTTTATATCAACTTTTGAATAACATGGGAAAATTTTCATATTAGCAGATTTAGTGCTGATTAGTGAATGATTGTTAAGTGTGCGGTGGCATGCTGGGCCTCCATACAAGCTAGATTTTGTGTGTATGAACTTTTTGATTAGGATATATTTTTAAATTATTATAATTTACATCTCCCTCAATATTCAAAACATCATTATTACTGCATTTGTTTTTGGAAGTGAACAGTTATATATGTATTAATGTTTATGCAGGTATTTTATTGAGTAAATAAGGGATAAAAAAATGTTTTTGGCGATATCTAAACCGTAATCCATTTTTTCTCACATTTTCGTTTTAAGACTGTTTTATGCGGTTTTTACTGTACGTGGGTTTTATCGGAGTATATCCCATGCTCATCTCAAGAGCTGCCTGTATAAATGTGTACTGTATATATGTGGAAATATGGAGGCAATGTGATGGGATTGAACTGGTGTGTCTGATATCTTGTAAAACTGTGATTGTCGTACCAAAAGTTGTTGCTTTCCAAACTCCAAGTAAGAGTTATAGAATTTCTGGTTGAAATTCTTTCAAGCTGATCATGGCTCAGCAGTAGTGCTTTGGCCAAATGCCCAAGTTCAGCACAAGACAGAGGGACATCCAATAGGCATGTGTCAGGAGTTCAGGGGCAAATCCATTACATTGTCTCAATGTTTTCTCAGAGATACATAGCATTATTATGATTTCATTGTGTGTGTACTATACCGTACAGTATATATATTTTTCCCAGAAGGGTCCTCTCGGTACCTTCCTGAGCCAATTGTTAGTTCAACCGAGCCTTAGGGAGGTGTTCCAGGCCTCTTATACCCACCCTTGCCTACTTGGAGCCAGGACCAGAATTTGGCCCAGTGGAGTAAGAGAAGTTTGGGGATCAGAGATATAAAAAAAAAAAAGCTTAGGTTCAGGAAAACGTGCAACTGCTTCAAGAAAATTTGGTACTCGAAGGTAACGAGGCAAATGATTGTTGCTACGATTAAACATTTTTAACACATTGTGCCTGATTGCCAAAATGT